ATATTTCAAATAAATCAAACTTCTAATTTTTCATTTATGAATGAAACTACTGTCCCAAGCATGTACAGAAAAGTAGTTCTATCTGCCTCCTCATGGTATCTTATTCGCTGTGAATTTCAGCAGCAAGTTCTAAGTGTATTTGAAAGAAAGGAGTCAGCACGTAAGAAAAATGAGGTAATATTACTACTCTTTTTGAAATAGACTTTTTTCCATAAATCTTTAAAGTACTCTCATACAATTCATCTCATTTCCTCATCACAAATCTCTAAGGGGAGAGAGTTTATCATTGTAGGTGTATGCAGCAAAAGGATATTTATATTTATATCATTTCAAAACATCTAGATATATAGATTGAGAAAGAGACTGAAACTATTGACTATGAAAATCGAATAAGGCAATGAAATTTTAAAATAATCTCACTCCAAAATTAAGGATATACAGCTCTAGAAAAACAGCATAGAGCATACCTGATCACAGAAAACATGTTTATTTTCATGAGTTTTATAATAAAGATTAAAAATGCATACATTCTTTGTTCTAGGAACTTCACTTCTGGGAATTTTTTCTATTGATATACACAGGTACACAAAGACTGTATTAGGCAATTCACCACAGCACTGTTTACAATAGTTACAAGTTGGAAATAGCTTAAATGTCCACATAGAATATTGGTTAAATTAAGTTTATATCCACTCTATTGAAAATCATGCAGTGATTAAAAAGAACTGAGGAACTTTGTATGTGCTGCTAAGAACTGATTTCCAAGTTATACTGTTAATTTTTTAAAAAGAAAGGTCCAGAACAGTGGTCATGGTATCTTATCATTCGTGTAAAAATGAGCAGACATATACACATATTAATAAATGTACATCAACGTGTGTGTGTGTTGTATATATAGACTACATATGGAACGATACAAAAGGAATTGGGGGCCAGGTGCGGTGGCTCACGCTTGTAATCCTAGCACTCTAGGAGGCCGAGGCAAGAGGATTGCTTGAGCTCAGGAGTTCGAGAGCAGTCTGAGCAAGAGCGAGACCCCTGGTCTCTACAAAAAATAGAAAACTTAGCCGGGTGTGGTGGTACATGCCTACATGTAGTCCCAGCTACCCAAGAGGCAGAGGCAGGAGGATCCCGTGAGCCCAGGAGTTTGAGGTTGCAGTGAGCTATGATGATGCCACTGCACTCTAGCCTCTAGCCAGGGCAACAGAGGGAGACTCTGTATCAAAAAAAAAAAAAAAAGAAAGAAAGAAATTGGGGAGGGGAGACAAAAATAAGAAACTGGGGTGGAAAAACATAAACATTTTAGCACACTTAACTTTGATATCTTTTGAATTTTATACTATCTACATATGTTACTGATTAATATAAAGTAAAAAATAATGCAATATAAAAGGGTACTATGAAGTATAATGAAATAGGAGTAGTTTAGACACCAGATAGATCTTAATTTAAGTTCTAGCTCCACTGCTTTTTAATCTTAACCTGAGCCTCTTAACCTGCTTCCTCATCTGTCAGAGGGGCATCATGTATCTGAAAACACCTAGCAAATAACAAGTACTTTAAAAAAAATGATCAGAAAGGAGATAACCAGGGTGAACTTCAGATTGAACCAATATTTAGAAAACCTGCCTATTCTGTGCGAGTAAGTGCGCTTGGCCATTTTGTCTTCACAACAATCCTCTGAGGTAAGAACTGTAATCTCATTTGACAGATGAGGAAAATAAATTTCCTGGCATAAGTGTAAAATGTGGAAAGAAAATGAGGATTCCTAAGGAATAACTAGGCAGTACAAGGATTCCAGGAAAGTGAAGCCCACCTGTGGAGACGGCAGTGGAAGTTGAGAGAAGACTGTGGTCAGAGCCGTGGCCTCCCTTGACACTTTCACAGCTGCCTCATCTGAGGGGGTGGCAGAGGAGGAGGCGGGTGCCAATATGTTAACGCCAAAAGGCTGAGTGAGGCTGCAGCTGCTGCATGGACTTGGAAGATAATGCGTTCTCTCTCCACCCTTACCCGCCGAGACGTCTCAAAAACATCTCCAAATATCAATGCTTTCATATCTTAACTCCTCGGGTGCTCAGTATGGGTAAGGTGAGGTCCCCCCAGAGAGAATGCAGTGGGGGAGGGACAGTCACTGCCATGGGGAGGAGAGGGAAAGGCGTCGGGACGCAGGCAGAGGTGAGGGATGGGGATCCCCGACAGGAGAGGCACTCACTGAGTCTTCTCCAAAACACCTCTCGATTAAATTCCTCGGTGGTCGCCCGGGCTTCGCCAACTTGTGGGTGTGGCGTGAGGGGGCCGAAAGGTAGCAAAAGGAAAAGCTGAGGTAAGCGGAGCCACCTCCTCCGCCCGAGGCCCCAGTTCCCTGCCGGTGCCCCAGCCTGGCCTCTCCCCCACCCCAAGCCCGCCCCGGCCGTCGCCCGTCCCAGCTACGTCAGCTCACCCCGCACGCGAGGCAGGAGCAGCCGCAGCTCCACTGCCAAGTGCCGAAGCTGCTCCAAAGGCGGAGCCAGACTCGCCATCTCAATCGCTCGCCGGAGCTCGCAGACTGATGCCACCAACCGCCAATTTCTGAGCCGCACTGCGTCAGCTGCTTCACTTCCGGGCCCCAGAGACTGGGGTTCGTTTCCGGCAACAAGCCGTCCCGCCCCGCCCCAGAGATCTGGCCACGCCCCTTCCGTCCCCAGAAGCCCTGCCCTCAGAGGCCCAGCACCGCCCGTCCCGTTCTCAGAAGCCGGGCCACGCCTCCTCTCGCCCAGAGGCTCCGCCAAGCATACAAGGTTCAGGCCCATGATGTTTATTATTGTCACACATTCGTTTATTTGATTAGTTGAAAACACCCTCGACTAAGGAAGCAGAAAGCCCATAACCCTGTGGGAAAACATACCTGGGAACTAATATCTCGTAGGTTAGTCAGGGTCAGATGCAAGTCCACACAGGTTCCCTGCCCCTAAAATTGCACCCTTTGACAGCTGCTGAGTTCCAGGCAGGGCGCTAGGTGCTTTACATGGGGTTACCCTAAAAAACACACTGGGCCTCAGATATTCCCATACACACATCCCCAACCCCTACCCCGTGGATCTCACAGATTAGGGCTTTCTCTTCACAAAGGAAATTCAACCCTTTGCCTCCTTAGGGAAGGAAAAAAATCAAGGCATTATTTAAAGACTTTTCTGCAGTCCATTTTGCAGGAATCAGTAGTAGGTAATCCCTCCAACATCCAGGCATCCAAGGAGCAGCAGCTCCCTGAAGCTCACCCTCCAATAGTGGCTTCTACCTGCTACTGGGGCAGGGGCCTGGGCTACAAATGCAGAGGCTGGACTTCTGCCCAACTGCCAGTGGTGAAACATAGCCTTCAGGAGCTCAGGTGGTTTTTTTTGTTTTTTTGTTTTTTTT